CTGCAGTGCTGGCACGGCTCCACTGGAAAGGCACAGAATAAGCTAACGCGAATGCCGCTATGTAGAGCGTATTAGTCACAGTGAGACAGACCATTGCCAGCTGAGTGAGTCAGTGTACGTCAAGGTATTTTTGGTTGGAGCGTAGCGTAGTCATGTTTATTCTCGCGTTGTGTTGTGTGGTGTCTGTCATTGAGTGGTTTTTATTTCATGAGTGAGTGTATACGTCAGTTTGTCCCGGACAGACACGCGTAGGCAGTAAGGTGCGTCAGGCGTCAAGTCAAGTACTTTTCCTCACGATTGGCACGAACGAAACGTCCCACCCCAGAAACACGCGCCGTCAGTGGGGTAGAGCGATCGTGAAACCAATCCTTGCCCCCACAGCCGGCCCCACTTCTCCCTCAGCTCTCTCCCCGAAAGAACAGATGGGGAATATCTTACCCAAGCGCAAGAACAAGAAATGGGGCTGGCCCAGGCCCTGTAAGGAGTACATCGACAAGCTCAAGCGGAGGTGCCATGCGCCCCATCAGTCATCGTCGTTGAATGCCCGGGCCCTCCACACGAGCTCGTGGCGAGGTAGGTATGCAGAGCCGTTCAGACAGGCTGATTGCCATGCATGCGCCCACCTGCCTCTTCGTGGGCGACATCTTTAGAGTACCTCGAGCGAAAGTGGACTGCACGGAGCATTGTGGAGTGTAAGTGACGTGATACTAGGCGGGTGTGGGGGATGTCTGACAGAGCTTTGTATGGATGCGATGCGTCTTTGTGTGGCTGGCTGCAGGCACTCCATATGCCGAGGCCTTGTGGGTGAGTGCCGCCTTGGCGGCTTCCCAGTTCGCTGCCGGCCTGGCAATGGCTCTCGAGAGCGGCAGGGTGTGGTGTGGGATGATGACGCCCGCTGATTTCTGTATGCAAGTGATGCTTGCGTGGATCAGCTGCATGGCCCACCCCATCCACCAGCTGATGCAGGCCGCCAGTGACGACATTCTGACGCTGGTGCAGCGGCATGAGCGAGCCAAGATCATCGTGACTTCAGAGAAGAAAGAGGAGGCGGGGCAGCAGGAGGCCGGGGAGAGACGCCGGTTCCTGGACCGTCTGGTGGGAAGGGTCAAGGGGCACCTGGCCGTCATGCATGGAGCCTTCTTGCGGCTGTATGCCTCGTCGTTCCCATTCCACCTGACGACGGGCAAGAAGGACCGTGCCATGAGGGTGCTGGTGTCGTATTTCTTTACCACACCCGGCGGCCGAAAGGCGAGCCGCAACACACATACTCCCGAGGAAGGAACATCACGGCGGCCTTCTGTGGAATGTGCTTTCTTCTCAGGTCGTGTCACTGTATCGGGAGGCGTATTTGAGTGAAGACGAGAAGACACAGGAGACGCTGCAGCAAGGTGTGCAGGCTTTGAAGCCTGATGCCGGATGGACCTGCCCCTCTACCCCTCTCGCCTGTGTGTGCAGCGTCATGTCTCTTCACCTCGCCGGAGGCCTGTGGGGTGGACCCCCACTTCTGCGTCCCGCCGTCCTCGCCAGGCCCCGCTCCTCCCCTCTGGCAGGACATCGTCGCCTCCCCGCTGCCCCTCCTCACCCCACACATCCCACACGCCTACGCGCATCAGAAGTCGCTCGCCGCATCCATCTGCAGCCAGGACACCTCTCCGCTCATGCGCAAGAACTGGCGAAGGAACAAGGTGTTTGTGCGGCCGAGAGCGGACAGCCATCTGCGGAAGAACCTGCTGAGTCCTGTTGTTGCGCCACAGTCGGCTGCTGCTGCACCAGCTGCTGGTGGAGCTGGTGGTGGTGTGGGCGTGAAAAGACATGCGCCCCCTGCTCCGCCCCACAGCGGGATCGCTTTGCCCTTTGCCAACGCGATTTGGTGACAGATTGGTCGTGCACGGCGGCCGTCAGTGACCATTGTGTGTCTCTCTCTCTGTTTGGCACCTTCATGCAATGCAGGCTGCTGGGGACTCTTTCGCACCTGGACACGCCAGGACAGAAGCTGGCGGCGCTGCAAGGGGTGGCGCGTCAGATAGAGGTTGACGTGCAGGAGGCGCGACGGACCGAGGGGGGCTCCAGTGACAACATGCTCACCGCTGCATCGGCCACACGGCTGATCGACGCTGACAATCTGGTGCCCCTCTTCGCCTTCATGCTCTGCTGGGTAAGGCATGAGACACACACACGCACACACACACACACACACAGAGAGAGAGAGAGAGAGAGATGAGGCCTGTGGTCTTTTTGTGTGCCTGCCTGCCTGCCTGCCTGCCTGTCCTGCCTGTGTGCAGTCCGCTCCGTCGACCATCGTGTCTGACTGTGCATTGATGACGAGCTTCGTCACAGAATCGCAAAACAAGAGCGAAGAGGTCAGTGAGTCCGTCATGCGATGCTGCTGCGGTGTTGTGATGGACGCCCGACGCGTGTGTGTGTGCGCGCAGGGGTATTTGCGCTCGACGCTGTGGGCTGCTCTCGAGTGGATAAGAAGTGAGGTTCGCACGCATTTCTCTAACCCTCATGCTGTTGCATGAAGGAACCGGGCGGGCGGAGGGAGGGAGGGTCTGGCAGTTTTGTGCGTCGCTGGATGGGTGCATTTGCTCTGCCGTATGCCAGCACGCCGGCAGCGATTGATTTGAGAAATGGAGGCTGCAGCGATGACGACCGGTGTGCTGTACTGTATGTGTTCGATCACGTCGGTCACATGACATGTATGTGTTAGTAGCGGTTTCGCTCGCACACACACATACGTGTCACTCAGTGACACGTGTGTGGCGACACGAGACGGCATACATTCTTACACACGTGTACTAGTTAGGAGTGTACACTAATTATCATGCAATCAACACACTCATCCATCCATCCATCGCCATCCATGCTGCAACACGATCAACAACCGCCATCACACAACCAAAAAACGACTCGCCAGCCGCTCATACTCTCACTGCAGCGTGGCTAGCAGGAGGGTGGCCTTGGCACCACCCTGCTTTTCTTCACTCTCGCCCCTCTCCGTCTCAGTCTTTGGCAGCTGGTTGTCGGGGTGGTATCTGCTGAACCGGCCAAACGACCGACTCACTTTGTGCTGGACACACCAGTTGGAAGGCAGGAATCGGGGCTTCATCGTCTCCACGAAGTGGGCGCGAAACCGCCGGATGAGGGCGCCTATGTCGTCGACGCGCTCGGCAACGACCTGGGGAAAGGGAAACACACCACACACATGACAGTGAGAAAGTGAGCGAGAGGGTGCAGTCAGTCAAAGCGATCGGTTCCTCACCTTGCCGTGGTCATACCGCATGCTCTTGCCCTTGTTGTCGACCGTTCCATCCCTCGACCCATCGCTGTCAGACCCCTCCCCCGTCCTATATCGACCAGCCTTCCCTGCCTCATGGGCGGCGGCAATCACTTCGCCACTCACAGTTGGCTCCTCCTCAAACAGCACCTTGCGAATGCCGCTGCTGAGGGCGTCGAGGCCTTCCTGGATGTCGGCAGGGATGGCGGAGTCAGAGCCGGCCTCTCTCTCGCTGTGCAGGTGGTCCCTCCACTCGAGCAGCTTGCTCTTCAGCTCTAGGATGCGATCGAGCGGCATCGAGTCGCCTGACCTGCACAGGCAGATGGCCACATCAGAAAGGTCCTAGGCCGAAAGGCTGTTGTATGCTGGTGTGCTGGTGTGGCTCACTCACCTGAGTAGGGCAGCCGCCGCGCGTCTGGCCGCACATGCGCGGGCTGACTGCTTCCGATGTTCCTCGTTCGACCAGTTGAGGGGGGCCTGCAGAGAGAGCAACCAAAACACACGGACAGTAGGATGCAGTCCACACTTTTCCGGTGCTGCAGGTGTCCTCCTCACCTGGTACTCGTCCGCCAACTGCTGCTTGAGCTGAAACACGTGTTTGCTCGCCTCTTCATGGCACCTGCACACATAACATACAACGCGACATCATAATTACATTACATTCATCTACATGTGTGTGCTCTGTGGAAGATGGCTCACGTGACGCATAATAGTATGACGTCGTGGCTGCCATTGCAGCGGTACTGCGGCGGGAAATGGCAGCGGTAGCAGGTGGGCACCGCGTGGTAGCGGAGGAAGTTCCTGGCGACCCCGCACACCACACACCTGTTCTCCTTCTTGCTGGCGTAGCAGGACTCACTCGACCGCCCAGCTGCCCCCGCTGCTGCGTCCTGGTCGTCGCTGAAAAGGCTGCCCTCGCCGTCTCTCTCCTCCTTCCGCCGTGCACTGGAGAAAAAGACAAAAGGGCAAGTGGATGCGATGCACGTGGGTGACCTGTATAGAAAGGCTGGCTGGCTGTGTGTGTGTGGCTCGCCCACTTTCGTTCGGCCTTTTGGGTGGCCGCTTGAGTGTCCCCGTCTTCCTGCCCCGTGGGCTCGAACAGCAGACGGATCCGCAAGGGGCTCTGACACAGACGAAAGAAAGAAGGGTTGCAAAACGATGGATGTACGTGTGTTCATTGCATGGATCGCACTTACGTCGCACTCTTTTCTCGCGAGCTGCCGCTTCACGTACCAATTGGCCTGAACACACGAGTACCCATTCACACGCCGCAGGTGGACCAGTGTCTTTCCCTCCCCACAGACAGACAGACAGACAGACAAACTTTTCGTTTGTCGCAGTGACAGAGCACCAATCCGTCGGGCGTCAACACCTCCACGTTCTCATACACGGGCTTCTTGGCGCTAAACAGGCTGACAAAGTGGAGGTACCGGGCCCGCTTGAGCACTGGCAGCGACCGCACTCGCTGCTGCAGAGTGGGCGGCTGCCTCGCCAGCTCCCGCTCGAACTCACTTTGTGACCCAAATGGGGCATACACCTGCGTGCAGTGCAAAGTCGCTGGTGCGATGCGATGGCGCATAATATAATTGATGCTTACCCGTTCCTGGTCCATGTTGCCGCGTCCCGGTACGCCAACGTCCCGGCAGATCCATCCCCACTGCCCCCGCCTTCCTGCCCATCGACCCGCTGGGCCCTATCTCTCGCCGGCAGCGCTCTGCCAATGGCATGATAGAGCCGCAGCAGCCCCACTATCGACACACGCGGCGAGCTGTGCGTCCACATCGACCGCACGTTGTCCACGATAAACGCCGCCCGAGAGAGAGGTGGAGAAACAGACCACTCAAACAGCAATTGGTTAGGAACGATGCTCTCGGGCGGCTCATCGCGGGTGCGTGCGATGTCGTCACGGACGGCGAAAAGTCGACGGAATATCTCCTCTGCCATCGGCGTGAGGTGAAGCTCTTGTCTGCCACGCGAGAGCTCGCGAAACGCTGGAAGGTGGGCTGTGGGTGAGAGGGGGGGCGGGGGCTGATACTCCCGAATGACCACTCTCCTGCACCGTCTGGTGAAATCCGCGATGACGCGACGCGTCAGAGATGACTCCTCATTCATCTCATGAACAGCATCGTCATCGCCAAATAGATCCGCCTCGTCGCCATCCCTCGTGCGGTCGACATCGTCCTCGCTATCCACCTCTTCCTCATCTCCCTCACTGTCGATGCGGATGCTGTCCTGGCTGCTCTTGCGGTGTGCGGCACTGTCCTTCACCTCGAGGAATCGCCGACAAATCATGACAAACTCCTCACGAGATTTCACCGGCTGACGGGTGCGGCCTGAGTATACCGTAGGAAGCATCAAACAGCTGACGGCTGCATTCAGTCTCTGTCGCTGGCGTTACTTTCGGCAGTCCTGGCTGGATCGGTGAGGTGTCCTCTTCTGCCTCTCCTCTGTCGAGAGCAAAATGCAGCGGAGAGCGCTTCAAGGCCACGATGCTGGACAGCGCCCCCAAAACTCTCCCCTCTTCATCGGTCACACTCTCCCTCTCGCCCAGCTGCCCATCCTTGCTCGGCAAGCCGTCCAAGCTGACACAGAAACACACGAGGAACGACCCACCGTGTGTTTGCCCGGGAGGCAGGCACATGTATGTGTGTGATGGCTACAGACCTGTACATGGCCCAGAGCAGAGCGGCAGCGAGATGAGGGAGAAAGCGCGCGTCGATCCGAGCATACTGCAACTGCTCGTCCGTGAGCGGCCGACGCGACCAGTCGGAACACTGCACACACGCGCGCAATGGAAGCGGTCCTCACGGACGGATGTCTGTGTTGCTCACTTGCATGGTCTTCTTTGCGGTTGCGTTGAGATGGAAGTCGCAGAAGACAGACCACAGCTGGGGCAGATCCGATACGCCACCTGCAGACATAACACGCCCACACAGATGCATGGGCTGTGCTGAGAACACGGCCACACAGATGCATGGGCTGTGCTGAGGGCAGCCGCCGTGCATTCGGGCTTACTTGATAGAGCTCTGCAGGCCTGGTGAGTGTCGAACACATTGACGACCGACAGAGCGAAATCTGAGAGGGCCTCACAGCCGCAGAACATATCATGCCGTGGCACTTGGGCGGCTTTGCACACCCGCTCCCACAGCCACCCCACCCACTCACCTCGCTGCAGCCACATGATGTCATTCTCGGCGGAGTGAAAGACCTTCAGGATCTTCTGCGACTGAGCATACAGCACACGTCCATAAACCATCGTGTGTGCGTCGTCGACCAGTCACGCACTTCCGTACCTCAAACAAGGGCCTGAGAAGGCGCGCGATTGCGGGCCGGACACCCTCCGCTATTGCATCCACGATGATGTCCACCGTGCCGGTCGACAGCTGCAACAGACACACTCGGCCGTGGTAGCCTCCCGTGCCGTGCTCTGCACACACCACAAAGAAAGAGGCAGAGGCTGCATTTATTCATTGTCTGTGGCGGTCACTGTAGCAATGCATGGCATGCAGCCGACCGATATCGACTCCGATCTGATGAGGCAGATGACAGACAGATGGCAGGCCAAGCAGCTAAGTGCACAGATCACATGCACATGCCTGTGGTTTGTTTCACTCACCACGGGAGCAGCCATGAGGAATCTGACGCATGCCTTGAGCTGCAGCGCTGTCGTCACCACCACGAGCCCCACCCTCCACCATTCATGCTCTGACTTCTCACCCGCCAGCCGCTTGAGCAACTCATGCCACTTGACGCCGCACCAGTCGAAGGGCTGCTCCAAAGCGATGCGCACCTTGTTGGGGTGCACGAAGGGCCGCAAAGGCGAGCGCTGCCGCCTGTGCTTTGTCCGCGGGAGGAGGGCATGGACCAGAAGAGCAGCGGCGATGAGTGTCAGAGGCGTGAGAATGAATGGATCAGACAGGGCCCGGTAGATGAGATATGTGGTGAGGCTGTTCGCATCTCAAGAGGGGGCAGAGATCACTCCGTGAAATGGAACCTGCGAGCTGAGCCCGCTCGTTCCGAGCGGACGGATAAGCGATTGTTGGCATAGCCACAAGCAGCGCGTTTTGGCAGTGCAACGATGGACCCAGCCCTCACCGTGGACAGGCTCCCTCAGCCATACCGTAAGCCCTCAACCATCAGGCGTTTTCCATCAGCAACGCATCTTGTTGGTTGTGCCTTCTCATCATGACAGGTCTCATCCAAAAGGTCATCACCGCTGTGCTCCAGGTGCCATGGCATCGCACGGACAAACACATACATACAGGAGAGTGTCTTTGTGACCTCTGGCTGTGGGCGCTTCTTCCCGTTGTGTGCACGAGCAGAATGTGGATGAAGGCATCGAGGAGATTGAGAAAAAAAGAGGGGCCCATGAGAACGAGCTGTCCCTCCCCGCATGGTCACAACTGCTGACCGTCACTGGCCGCTTCAATGCTGTCGCGGGACCGCTGCTGCCCAGCGATTGGCCGGTTCCAGCATCATTTGGGAGCGGGCTGCCCTCTTTGGGACGCATGTGTGATTGGGCGGTGGGCGGCACATCGGAGGGAGAGCTGTGTCTGATTGATATGGCCATCGCACCATCACCACCGGGGAGGCTGAGCCCTGACAGTGTGGCGTCTGCTGTGCTTGAACGTCGGCCGGCGTTCGCGGTCGAGAGCAGTGCCTCTGTCTCATCTTCAGCCCCTCCACGGACAGCCAATGCTGACAGCCCTTCAGGTGGCGAAGGCACAGCAGCTGGAGAAGCTGAAAAGAGTGCTGTGGGGGGAGTGTGGATGATCCGAACGTCCAACCCGAGCTGGCTTCATGCTAAGGGGCTGCCCGAGGGAGGGTGGGCCGAAGGAGGGTGGACACCACCGTGTGTAGCGGTGTTTCCGGCGTCGAAAGTGCCCTATTTCACAACAAGTGGGGAGGAGAAGAGAGAGGGAATGCTGGCTGCAGCTGTTTATTGCGTTTCCACCAAACAACCCTTTTTCCGGCCGGTGTGCCGTGTCGTGCCGGAAGGTGAAGGGCTGCTTCTGCCAGAGGTGACAAGCGAGCTGCCTGTCGTGTGCGAGGCTCGCTTGAGTGCTGGCGAGAACAACCAGGTTACCAATGATACAGAGACACCAATCAAACGCCACTGTCACTGTTCCGCTGCTTTGTCGTTACAGCTGTTGGTATGTGAGTCGTCGACCCATCAGTATTGGCTATTCTCACTCCCCCTCCCCGACACACCACTTCAAGACCGCACATTGGGGGGCCGGGGAGCTTCGTCGAGTCCGCTGTCGTCCACTCACAGAGACGCCGAGCCAGCCGACCTCAAGGCAGGATCAATCGCAGACTTGGGGCCCTCCAGAGAGACGAAGCCAGCAGAGACCAAGCCTGTAGCCACCGTCACGACACCTTTTGCGATTGTGCCCGATCCCACGTCAAGCCCTGAAGCACCTCTATCAGTCCATTCCCATGATTCACCTTTTCTCTCTTCCCCCCTGCCTGTCTACGGAAGTGGTACAGAAGAGCCTGTAGCTGGTCAGGCTGGTCAGCAGAACGTCTTCTGTGTGACTAATGTTCATCTTTTGCATCCCAATCGCCCACCGATCAGCGACAGCTGCCGACGGGGCGGGCTGCGTGATGGGGCTACGCGGGCATCTCCATATATCATTGTGGGTGCGCTGGGACGTCCACTGGTATTCGCCTTCGCTGTGCCACCACAGCAGGTGATGAATGGCTTTTGTGAGAGTCCGCATAAGTTCTCTGTCTCTCTTTTGGTGTCTGCAGGAGGACGCTGCCAGCCCGCTTATGTTGGCTGTGCGAGAGCGGTGGACCCTAACATCTCCCCTCAGCTGTCCGCCACTTGCAGGCGGCAACCACTTCGCGGTTGGTCTGGAGTCTGGCGCGCCACTCATTTTCGACTCCGAGACGCTAGCCTTGGCTGCGGTGGGGAGACGGCACTACTCGAGAGTCACTGCTATGACGTTTGGCCCGCCTGGCAACCGCTTGCTCATCACCGCGGGCACAGATGCGCACGTCCATGGGTATGCGAGCGCATCCGGGGTTCTTTTGTTTCGGCTGTCCTTCACTCCCCCTGGCAACCCCCCTCCAGTTATTCACGTGTCCGCTGTCTTCACAACTTTGGCCTCGCCCACCCCATCTTCGTCCGTCAACACACATACAGCTCCCCTGCGCCTGTCGCCCACGGAGAACGGCGAGAATGTGCCGGTCCAGAACCTGTCTGTCGACAGCGGTGAGCCCTCTGTGGCTCGTCCCATTGTGGTGGGGCTGGATGCGAGGGGTGAGATGCGAGTCATCGATGTGGCCAGGGGGACGAAAGTGAGAAGCCATGGCGAGAGAAAGTCCGAGCAAATGCATGATGCATGCTGCTGTGCTGTGTCTCATGGTTCCCCGTCCGCAGGTATGCAAGTATGCCAGGAGCGCCTCCAGGTCGACCACAAATGCGCCTGCTTCGTCTTCTGAAGCCGATCTCCCAGCTGTAGATCCTTTCGCATTCCCCTCTACATCACATCGCCTACGTCGACTTACGCCTGTTGTCGGCCGGCATGGTGTCTGCCTTGCCACAAACATAGAAGAGCTCATCTCGCGAGGGAAAAGGGCAGCGAAAAAAGCGGATGACAAGCGAGAAGAGGACGGCACTTCGCCTGAGAGCGGGGAGGCACCAGCTGAGAAGAGGACAGAGGTGGCGGAGGCGTGTGGACCGTTGTGCGTATACCCGTTGTACGGTCCACTGCCAAAGGAGACACCATCATCGAGAACGACGTGAGACAAGGAAAGAAGGAACAATCGAAGCAGCATAAGACTCACATCACACCCAATCTCGCCATGCTGTATTGACAGTGGTACAACCTTCGCCGCCGGTAAGACAGTCACTGAGCGAGGGCCACTGCAGTTTGCAGCCGGACCAAAGGTACGCTGCGACTTGTGAAGCGCGACAGAATCTCACGTCGCTGTCTCTTCAGGCCGTCACTTCGAGATTGAAGGCGGTCCCAAGCGGAACAAGAGGTGAGCAAGGCTTTTCCAAATGTACCCTGGCGCCCGCGAAAGGCCTAAGTATGCAATCTCTTGGCCACCGATCCTGCAGGAGCTAAGACCGCCCGAGCTGCGCCCTCGCCCGTCCAAGTGGCTCTCACAGAGGCAAACATCAGGCAAAGTACGCACTCACACATAGCACTCACGTCTCTCCTGCCCCCATCCTACCATTTTGTCACAATTTTCTCCTGGCAGTCGAAGCCGAGCAAGCGGGTGGCAAGGCTGCTGCTGCCAGGAAATGGGAAGAGACGCTTCAAGAGGCCGAAAAGAATGCCAAATTCCGGTCCGAGCCGTCCAGCAGCACGCAAGTCTCCACTGTCTCTCCGGACCAGTCACCATCGGTGGCGTTGGCGGGTACCATGGCGGGTGCCCGATCGCAATCAAGTGTCTCGTTTCGGAAGGGCGGCCCATCCATTACCCATGCTGAAGATGCCAGGCACACACGGAAGGTAAGGCAGGATGGGACGCACAAAGACATACACAAGTACATTGGAGGTGTTCGATTTGTTCGCAGTCTGGTGACGGAAGAGGCTGCCGAGACTTCATGCGTGGCCTTCTCAACGAGCGGGGGTACCGAGAGGTAAGGAAGGGATTTATTATCGCTGTCGCCATACATCGATCCATCAGAGGAATGTCACTCGTTGCGCAGGTGAATGCGAAGCGGTTGGTTGATGCATTTATGCAGGTGAACCAATGAACACATGTTGGGTGACTCTGTGCCTGTCGGACGGGCACAAGTCGCTCTTCGTTCGGACAGCTATCCCCATTGATTAACGAACTAACGAACGAAGAATGTGTTACGGACCAACCGAATAAGCTAAGCTGTGGTTGTCCATCTGCGGGCCGCATTCACCATTTCCTCAACAGAATGTCGAAGATGGTTGGTTGGTTGGTTAGTGTGTTTAACGAGACTCGTGTCTGTAACCCCGGAGGGATCCTGTTGTCTCACGCACTAAACTAGCAGCATGTACATGCAAAGCATGCATACGGCCTGTCTACCCCTCCCTGCACTGGCACCGGCGGACAAACAGATGGCAGC